TGTACCTAAGTTATCAAGTCCAGGAGCCCGATGACATGCATTGGTTGCGTGCTCTGGTCTTTAAATGGAGAGAAACATGCTACCATAATGGAAGCAAGGATTGTGTGCTCTCATTTCAATGCTCTTAATTTTTCAGCCCATTATTTATATTTCTCGGACAAGGTGGAAATGAAAGCAAGACAACGAGACATACTACCATAATGGAGAGAGACAATAGCGCTTTTAATACTATATATACAACTGCCTACTGTTACCAAAAGGCTATTTAAAAGCATAAAATTAGGGGGTAAGACAATAAAAAAAGTATTAAGTGAGCAGGTTAATGGGCTGGAGCTTAGTTACGAGAGACTCAAGTCCGAGTCCAAAGACACCACACACACACATCAAATTTATTTTCTAGTTTTTTGGTTGTGGATGCAAAGGAGTAGTAATACGATAAAAGCAAGTGTAACATATCTTTAACCACATGAAAGCGTTAGCTGGGCTGGTTACCGGTAGTAGAATGCGTGCAATAGGTGGAAGGATTGATTCCTACTGCTGCTCATTTTTTTGCGAAAAATGAAAAGCGGACGGAAGGTGGAGCGCTGGAGCCGATCGAACTCGTTCGGATCTATCGACAAGGTGAGAACGTTCGCTCGTTACTTTTGTCGTTAATTATTTGCCTTAGGATGGCCCCATGATCGCATGACCAGAGAGATGCTGAATTTACCTTTCGAGGTGGCAAAGTATGATTCTTTCAATGTATCAAAATTCAACGTCCAACACAGCACCGATGCAAGTCCTTTGGTGTAGTGCTTGCAAAACTTTGCCGTGAGTCCCTCGTGGCGATAGGTATCTTGAGGTAGAGTTTTGGTACATTAAAGGAATTATAGTTTCGGTGGTCGGTCCGTCCAATTTGAACTGGTTGAATTGTCATACTCCCGCTGTTCTCTTTTATAGTGCGTATACTTTTTTAGGACATTTATATCTATGTCCTTAACTTGAACCCACTACTCAGTTTTGCCCCTAATTTTTAGATATGCTTAGTTTTGCCCCTCCGTCGTTAGTTTCACTTATAGAAATGCCCTTCTCTGTCGTTACCGTCCGGTCAAAGGTCTTTGACCGTCCTGAAAAAATAGCAAAAAAATCAAAAAAAATATGAAATTTGGTGGGATCGAAGATAGTCATGTCCGCAAGGCGCGTGCACATTTTCATGCCGTTCGGACACTCTGGGAGCTCGTGTCAAAGGAAAACATAAATTTTGTACGCATGCGAGTAGTAAATTCAAAAAAAATAGAAAAAAATCAAAAAAAATATGAAAGTTCGTGGGACTGAGGATATTCAGGTTCGCAAGATGTGTGCACGTTTTTGTTGTGTTTGGACATCGTAGGAGCTCGTGGAGAAAAAAAACAAATTTTAGCTCAAGAAAACTTTGAAAAAATGCAGTATTTTTTTTTCTCTAGAGCGCCTCGTACTTCATTTGATCACTAAAACTTGCAAGCACCTTGTGCACTCAAGCCTCTTTGACGCCAAATAAATTCAATTTTTTTTGAACTTTTTTGCTATTTTTTTTGAATTTACTGTTCATAGGCATAAATTATTATTTTTTTCCTTTGCCACGAGCTCCCAGAGTGTCCAACCAACACAAAATTGTGCACGCGCCTTGCGGACATGACTATCTTCGATCCCACCAAATTTCATATTTTTTTGATTTTTTTTGCTATTTTTTTCTGGATGGTCAAAGTACTTTGACCGGACGGTAACAACGCAAAAGCGCATTTTTATAAGTGACACTAACGGCAGAGGGGCAAAACTGAGTAGTGGGTTCAAATTAGAGGCAGGACTGGAATTGGCCCTACTTTTTTCTGTAAAATTCTGCAATGTAGTGCACATATGCGGCGCTGAGCTTATTTGGGCAAAGATAACAATGTGTTTGACTCACGGGACATGTAGGAGCACCCACTGGGTTGGACAGACCACATGCATGTATGGCTAGTTTAGTCAAAACTGCAGCTCCACCTCACTCTTTAGTATTAGAGCTGGAAATGATGCGCACTATAAAGTGGGATAGAGGGGGTAGTATTTAAATGGACATCCCTCGACATGCTAGGAATCCTTCAAAATCTCATTTGTTTGAAGCTGCTTAGAATCAACATTGCCCGCAAGAAAAAACATTATGTGGGGCTGATGTACTAGCCCAATGCCCATGGCATACGCCGACAAAACCAACAGCTGAAGAAAAGGAGGAATGCCAAACAATAGTACTCTACAGACAAGATTTCCCATGAGCACATGATTTTGTTTCATTGGATAATAAATCTTATACATGAGGTCTACTTTGCTACAGGAAATCCAGGATCTATAGAAACATTTTACAACACTTTTTTGTGTGTGGTAAGATCGAATCCCGTAAGTGCCAGAGCATAATCAACACCTACATAATACATAAGTCTCCCGAAAGAAATGCAGCTCAAAGAAAATGTCATAATATCCGCAAAAAAACAAACAAAATGTTAGAAAGCTGTGTTAAAAAAAAGAATTAGAAAGCTACATCATCAGCAGTCTATCTCTACTTCTCTACTACTATTAAACAAGCAAACATATTCTTCCCAGATAAATGTACACAGGGCAAACAAAACAAATTACCACCCCAAGATCAGGCATCTAACCGTCCACATAAAAGTCAGCCCTCACCTATGTGCGTTTAGCAATTTATAGTAGCGGACGAAACTCTGCCATCGATCAGTTCCACCTCCCCCGCAAAAAAAAAACACGTCCACCCATTGCATTCGCGTCAAAAACATATATACACATACGAGCCAATCAACTACAGAAAATTAGCCACAATTAACGGGAATTAACACGCCTGCCTCACAACAAATGGCTAAACTTCTGGGAATCGGCTTGATCTACCTGCCTTTGCCCACCCCGGACGTACGTCGCAGCAGCCCGCCCTGTCCTGCGCCATCGCCGCCGTGCGCAGCAGACGACGCCCGCGTCGACGAGCTTCTCGCCAACGCAAGTGCAGACTATCCTCTTGTGCGCAATATGTGGCCAGTTCCATCCCAGTTAATCTCGATGTCTTTCTTCGACGTCGCCATTCAGACTTTCTTCGATGTCGCCGTTCAGACGCACACTACAGTCAGACGTCGGCGCCGCCAAGCCACTGTTGGACCTTCGCCGCCCAGCCACTGTTAGCCATCGCCGCCTTCCACAACTGACGACATCGGCACCGACGAACTCCTCAGGCAACGCACCTGCCTGCACCAATGGAACACGGTATGATTTTACATGATATTCAATTGGGTTAATGTGATGGGGCCGATCAGTTCCTGATTTTACAGGAAATTCTATTTAACATATATATGCGTAATTCATTGTCCTTCCCTAATCCCTGTCAAATTTGCAACTTTATAACAATGTTCTTCACTCTCAAATTTGCATATTTACAACAGTGTGATGATGAATGCATCATCTTTGTACAGATCATAATAGATCTACCTCCTGTGACTTCAGCATGATTTTTAACAGTGCATCAAACTGGAGACCTCCATCATATTGTTTTAACAGTATAGTATTCAAATCTGTATGACTGAATGAATATGACCCAGTCAGTATGATCTATTTGTAACTTGGTCCAAGAGAGTGGATAAGAAAACCCAGTTAGTACGATCTATTTGTAACTTGGACCAAGAGAGTGGATAAGAAAACCCAGTTCAAAAATATGCATTTTTCTGTACATAAATGAGGTTATATTCCATTACCAAGAGAGTAAATATCACTTGTGCAGCTGCAGGATAAGTATTGCATGATAAACAACAATATGAAACCAAACATATAGGCTCGGAAACAATTTGAATTTACAAGAGAAGATCTACTAAAGTAAATTCAGGTAGAATCAACGACGGAGCTAGGATTTGGAAACAGGGTAGTCCTCCTCCAAAATTAAGTCGTTTCAGTTAATGAGACACTTTGATGTATCACCGTTGTCTAACTGATACATTCAACAAATAACTGGTATATTCAGAATTAAGTGAGTAAGTACCTGATCATTTTGGCCAAACCAAATCCAAGACTATCATGAAGTAAACCTGTCAATTACTTGTTCTGTACAACGCTTGAAAGCTTCAGGTTGATGTATATGGCAGGCAGGTATGCCTCCCATTCCCATCTTTGTGTTTATTCCAGTCCCAAAAATTTAGGATGGAACAAATTCCCTCACTCTTAGATGGTCTTTAATATCCATTTCGTCTAAGCCTGCAAAATAACTTATGTTATAACCGGGGGTCCGGGACAACAAGAAATATATCTAAACGGTTGTGCTATATCATGAATATCACTTGTGCAGCTGTTGTAAGTAGTACTGAAGATGTCAGAGATGTTTATGGACTTCTAAAAAGGCAAGTTATTCACAGAAAGGCATTTTTTGAGGTGATAAGCTCTTTTAACCAACCACCGTCCTTTATATGACAGCCATAGCATCATCATTATCCTACATTATCAATTATTCATTCGTCAACCTGTATTATCCTAGAGTCATACACTCATACATACTTATCCTACTGTAGTAACCTACTATGCTTCTCTTGATCCTCTTTGATTTACTATAAAGCTCGCATTTGAAAACTTCTAAAAACATGCTTTCTTTTTTCAAAACAGAAGTAAATTTCTTTAGCGGGATCAAGCCAAATCTACCTCATCCGTCTTGGTCCCTAGCGCCCCTAGCCACCCAGAATCCAAATCCACCAATCAATCAACTTTATCGCAGCATGGTTGCCTCAAGAATATTAACTAACTAGAATCCCCACTCATAACAGTTGTTGCAGCGAAGTTAAGAACGTCTAATCGAACATCTTACTCCAAGATTAGACAGTACGAAAATAAAATCACCCCAACTTCTATTTTTTCTCCCCGATTCTAAAATGACTCTCATGCTTAAACCTAGACTACTGAGCTACATATGTACTATACAGGAATGGATAGCAATTAGGGATTAACAAAAGTGGGTAATGGGGAGTACCTCAAATCAGAAATAAGCATATATGAAAGCCGAAGAGGGGAATAGATCGTCTACCGGCGCCGGCTTGCACTTGCAGGGGACCAGACATCGGGGTACTGCTGTCGTGCCTGGGCATTGCAGGGCGCAGCGCAGTCGCACACACAGGGTGGTGGGAGCCACCGACGAGCGATATAGAGAGGAAGGAACCAGGGGCGGAGGTTGCGACGCATGACAGCCACGGCCGCCGATCTGGTGGAGACGAGTCCCGCGCCTTCGCGTCGGCCTTCGTCCCGCGCCCAGCGACCATGCCGAGCTCGAGCGGATCCTCGGGCACTTCGGCGACCGATTTGAGGAGGAGGGGTTGAGAAGAGTGGGAAGAGTGCGGGACCTCGCGTCGGCGGTGGGGAAAAACAGGAGGGGCGGTCTGAGGAGAGAGAGAGAGCTGTGGGCTTGTGGCCACCATGGAATAGGGAGTGGTGGGGAGACAGTGAAGAGATAAGGGTCGGGAAGGTAGGTGACGAGGCAAGGACCAAGGAGAACTGAGAGGGGGCGTCTGGTGTGTCTTTTTTCTTTTACCTTCTCTTGTTTTTAGCCCTTTTGGCCAAGTCACATATAGTGTCCGGTGTTGTCCAATTCAATTTTTTTATCAATAGATGAATTGAATGATATTTCTGCTTCCATACATTTATTGTAACGTTAAATAGGTAATATTGTCTGATGTGCATGAGATATATATTTACACAATAGCTACATGTTAGTCGCTTGACTTTCAAATTCGGGTTAGTCGATTTTGGTTGAAGGGAGAAATAGGCGAAGAGGAGGAAGAAGCTCACTGGAGGGGAGGAAGAAGCTTGCTGGCAAGCTACCTCATCATCTATCTTAGGGTAGGGGTGGGGAAGTAGCATAGCAATGGTGAAGGTTCCCGGAGAAAAACAGGAGAGGCCAAGGGCGGCAGCGGCACGGCGGTGGGAGGAGGTTCCAGGGAGGGCCAGACGATGGTGGCTGGCGGTCCATTGGACGACTAGGGGAAGGAATTGTCGGAGGTAGAAGAAAGTCCCGGGGTTGAACAAGGGATCGTATTGTTCATTTTGCATCGGATGGCCGGAAAGAATCGACTGGCCCATTTTAAATTTTCAGTCGATTTACACTTGGCCACTCCTATATATTTATGTGTGTATGGCCTTGTTGCATATAAATGGGTACAAATTATGTGTTAATGGAGACGTGTGTTGCACGTGCACGCTTACTAGTAGAGATAAATGTGTGAACTATATATTTGACGAACTAGATACTCACAATGATGCAACAACCAATCATAACAGAGTAAATTGCCAAGATATGAGCTGCCAGATAGTTCCTGCACTGAACCATTTGATCCTCGACACAAGAAGACCAGCCTATTGTTGGAAATATTAGCACTTTTTCGACTAATCTAATCCATAAGTAAACAGTAAGCATGGCAAATATGGTATGCATCTCATACTGATATCTAAGCATGTGAGCACGTACAGTACATAAAACCGAAACATCTATGAACAACATATATACGGCTAGCACATAAACGAGCAAATAGGGGATGAACGAGTCAAACCCTCCGATTGACCAGGCCAACAGGGCGGCGGCAGCAGTAGCCTCGGCATCGGTCGAGGCCTTCTTCTTGATGGCTTCGTCGTCAGCCATGGGATCGATGCAGGGGAAGTAGTGGAAGCAGAGGCGGACGGAGACGGGGACGGATCGGGAGCAGTCGCGTCGAGACACTTCCCAAAAACCTTATTGCCGTTCTCCCGGGCAGGATCTCGAACGACAGGGTTCCGGAGGCACCTGCTCTCCCAACCAACCGTGCACGCGTCGTCGGGATGGGATCGTCGGAAGCAGCACAGAGATAGGAACAGTAGATGACGGCTAGGGTTGTGCGAGAGGGAGTGAGTGAACTGAGTTAGCGTTCACTCCACTAGCCAGTGCCTTCTTATATAGGCCGTCAGGTAGATGGGCCTGGGCTCAGGCCCATGGCCGAGTCCGCGAACAGCCCACGATCCAACGTCTCGGACAGTGGCACTTCCGTAAGCGACTCGTTAATTAATCCGAGATTAATTAACCATTCCTGACCGTCAAAAATAAACTTCGGCTCGGCTCATTCCCGCATCCTGCGGCACGCGCGTGTCGTGACGCGGCGAGGCGTGGCGAGGCGAGGCGAGCGGCGGAGGAGGAGCGCGCGTGTACAGCTCATATTCCCAAGCTACCAATAGCAAATGATGGAGCAGCCCTTATAAAGAGGTCTCACTCTTCTTACTGTAGCAGTATGGTACTAAACTTCCCACACTTCCCACCACTTGTCGTACACATGCATGGGCCTTAGATATTAACTAGGGATTATTATCTTATATGGGCCTAAGCCCATCCATAATACATCAATCCCCCACCAGATCTCGAGGCACATAAGTTTGTCAACTGTTCCATACAATGTTTGATATACCAGAATTTTCAGTGGAGACTATTAAGTTAAACTTCCAACTAGAGCAATAGGATTAGACTTCTTCACAACTAAACAATGAACTATGCCTTGAATTGTCAGTTTGGCGTGCAGAAGTTTCGCCTATTGTCAACTGATACATGGCTACCGAAGGCTAAATCCCACGTGTGGAGCTTATTAGTCATACTCCGTACCTTCTCATGAGCTTCTACAGATGACCCAATCTCATAGACTGTGACTAGCAGTCATGCTCACATAGGTGTGTTCCTCCAAAGAATGCTTTGTAGATTAGCATCTTGCGTACATAAGCTTTGGAACACATTAAGACAAAAGTCAGCCTTCCTTACAGAATTGAGAGTATTATTGCATCTCCAACGGAGTGGGTTAGGTAAGGATACTCTCCTCAGTTGACTGCTGGATTGTTTTCCCATGTCCTAATTCACGCGATCTCCGATCACATAGGTTGGGTTACCCCCATGGCAACTTACGTGGGTCTCATGCACATCTCCCTTGATGCATTTTCGATCATAATCCGTGATAGCCCTTTCGTAAAAGGGTCTGCCAGATTTTTAGCAGTCTGGATATAATCCAATGCTATCACTCCAGAGTTTCTTGATTTTCTGACAGATTTCAATCTTCTTCTTATGTGCTTTGTGGATTTCATATTGTCCTTTGAACTCTTAGCCTTGGCAATCACAGTTTGATTGTCACAGTTCGTAAGGACAGCCGGGACTGGTTTATCAACCACCGGCAAATCCATCAAAAGCTCTCGAAGCCATTCTGCTTCGACGCATGATGTGTCTAATGTTGTGAGTTTTGCTTCCATAGTTGATCTCGGTAAGATCGTCTGCTTGCAAGACTTCCAGGAAACAGCACCACCACCAAGTGTGAAGACATATCCACTTGTGGCTTTCATCTCATCAGCATCAGATATCCAATTTGAGTCACTATATCCCTCAAGTACCGTCGGGTACCCAGAATAGTGAATTCCGTAGTTCACAATACCTTGCAAGTAATGCATCACTCACTCAACAGCATGCCAATGCACATCTCCCGGATTGGAAACAAACTGGCTCAGTTTGCACACAGCAAATGAGATGTCAGGACGAGTAGCACAAGCTAGGTATTGATAACCCACAAGTATAGGGGATCGCAACAGCTTTCAAGGGTAGAGTATTCAACCCAAATTTATTGATTCGACACAAGGGGGGCCAAAGAATATTCTCAAGTATTAGCAGTTGAGTTGTCAATTCAACCACACCTGGAAACTTAGTATCTGCAGCAAAGTGTTTAGTAGCAAAGTAATATGATAGTGGTGGTAGCGGCAAAAAAAGTAAAGACAGCAAAAATAATGTTTTTGGTATTTTGTAGTGATTCTAACAGTAGCAGCGGGAAAGTAAATAAGCGAGAAGCAGTATATGGAAAACTCGTAGGCACCGGATCAGTGATGGATAATTATGCCGGATGCGGTTCATCATGTAATAGTCATAACATAGGGTGGCACAGAACTAGCTCCAATTCATCAATGTAATGTAGGCATGTATTCTGTATATAGTCATACATGCTTATGGAAAAGAACTTGCATGACATCTTTTGTCCTACCCTCCCGTGGCAGCGGGGTCCTATTGGAAACTAAGGGATATTAAGGCCTCCTTTCAATAGAGAACCGGAACAAAGCATTAGCACATAGTGAATACATGAACTCCTCAAACTATGGACTATGGTCATCACCGGGAATGGTCCCGATTATTGTCACTTCGGGGTTGCCGGATCATAACACATAGTAGGTGACTATAGACTTGTAAGATAGGATCAAGAACTCACATATGTTCATGAAAACATAATAGGTTCAGATCTGAAATCATGGCACTCGGGCCCTAGTGACAAGCATTAAGCATAGCAAAGTCATAGCAACATCAATCTCAGAACATAATGGATAGTAGGGATCAAACCCTAACAAAACTAACTCGATTACATGATAAATCTCATCCAACCCATCACCGTCCAGCAAGCCTACGATGGAATTACTCACGCACGGCGATGAGCATCATGAAATTGGTGATGGAGGATGGTTGATGATGACGACGGCGACGAATCCCCCTCTCCGGAGCCCCGAACGGACTCCAGATCAGCCCTCCTGAGAGGTTTTAGGGCTTGGCGGCGGCTCCGTATCGTAAAACGCAATGATTTCTTTTTTCTGATTTTTTCTCTCCGAAAGCAAATATATAGAGTTGGAGTTGGCGTCGGAGGGCATCCAGGGGGCCCACGAGGTAGGGGGCGCGCCCCCACCCTCGTGAGAAGGGTGTGGGCCCCCTGGTCTTCATCTTTGGCGAGGATTTTTTATTATTTTTTCTAAGATGTTCCGTGGAGTTTCAGGTCATTTCGAGAATATTTGTTTTCTGCATATAAAACAACACCATGGCAATTCTGCTGAAAACAGCGTCAGTCCGGGTTAGTTCCATTCAAATCATACAAGTTAGTGTCCAAAACAAGGGCAAAAGTGTTTGGAAAAGTAGATACGACGGAGACATATCAACTCCCCCAAGCTTAAACCCTTGCTTGTCCTCAAGCACTTCAGTTGACAAACTGAAAGAAAGAAAAACTTTTACAAACTCTGTTTGCTCTTGTTGTTGTAACTATGTTAAGCCAGCATTCAAGTTTTCAGCATAGATCATAACTAACCACGTTTGCAATAATTCTCAGGTCTCATAATTACTCATATCAATAGCATAATCAACTAGCAAGTCATAATAATAAATCTCGGATGACAACACTTTCTCAAAACAACCATAATATGATATAACAAGATGGTATCTCGCTAGCCCTTTCTGAGACCGCAAAACATAAATGCAGAGCACCTTTAAAGATCAAGGACTGACTAGACATTGTAATTCATGGTAAAAGAGATCCAATCATAGTCATACCCAATATAAATTAACAGTGATGAATGCAAATGACGGTTGTGCTCTCCAGCTAGTGCTTTTTAATAAGAG